GTACTTAGGAATATTATTCCACATCCAATCCAATAAACATCAATTGAACACGATTGATATAAGACACAGATGCACATATAAGGAGGAATGTTCCATAACCTCAAGATGTTTTATAGTTACATATGACATAAATATTACTAATTATAAGTTAAAAAGAAAGAAAACATTTCTGAAGTCAGGTATAAGCAGAAGACTAATAATTTTTCTTAGATTGGGGATGGCCTTATGAAATAAACTGTTTTTTTTTTTTTTTTGATATTTAAGGATCAGTAGGCTTAAGGAGGCAGCATGTGCAAAGGACATGGGGTAATGAAACACTCTTTGTGTTCAGAAAAATGGCTTGTACAACTAGAGTGAAGAGCCACTGTGAGTCTGGATAAGTTGACTAGAACCAGATGGCCAAGGACCCTGAATGCTAGGCTGTAAAGTTTTGGCTTCACTCAATAGACAGTGGGGAATACTTGAAGGATTTGAGCTAGCATAAGCTTTACTCTTTTTTTTTTTTTGAGGCAGAGTCTCACTCTGTCACCCAGGCTGGAGTGCAGTGGCGTTATCTCAGCTCACTGCAACCTCTGCCTCCAGGGTTCAAGTGATTCTTGTGCCTCAGACTCCCAAGTAGCCGGGATTACAAGTGTGCGCCACCAGTTAGCATGCCTGACTAATTTTTTTGTCTTTTTAGTAAAAACGTGGTTTTGCCATGTTGGCCAAGCTGTTCTCAAACTCCTAGTCTCAGGTGATCCGCCCACCTTCGCCTCCCAAATCATTGGGATTACAGGCAAGAGGCACCGTGCCCGGCCAACATAGGCTTTACTCTTGACTTTCCTAGTATAATCTATTGCCTATTGACTAGCCAAGTGATCTTTTAGAAATAATCAAACTCTCCTATGGCTTCTCATGTCATCAGAATGAAACTAAAGCTCTCACCATAGCCCCGCTACATTTCTGAACACATGACTTATCCTGCCTAATTTTACTTAGGGTAAATAGAAGCATGATATTGATAGACAACTAAAAGCTTGGCAGAGATCCTTCAACAGGTCGGGACACCCCAGAGGCTCAACTAGCTGTCTCCTAAGGAATTCAGGCTTCTAGTTTGGACCTATGGCTTCACCTATGCTGACTGTCTTTTGTGGCAAGAGTATGATGTTATAAAGTTCAGTACATATTCTGTTCCTATATTATCCTGCTAATGATCTGTCTTCTTGCTCAAAATACTTAAGGGAAGTAGCCTGACCTGTACAGGTCAAGCTATAATGAGCCTGAAACTAAAAGGAGAAGAAAGATTCAGCAAAATATGAGGGGGAAAGACAATATTCTCTGAAAAAAGAAGTCAAGCTATTTTGTCTCCTTATAGGTTTGTGGTAACAGTGGGGAAAATGGATGTGATGCACAAATGTTTACTGAACACCTATTAAGTACCAAACTGTGTGTTCAGTATCAGAGATAAAATATATATGTATTTTATCTATATATATTTAGCTACTCGGGAGGCTGAGGCTGGAAAATCGCTTGAACCTGTGAGGCGGAGGTTGTAGTGAGCTGAGATCGTGCCACTGCACTCCAGTCTGGGTGACAGAGTAAGATTACTTCTCAAAAAAAAAAAAAAAAAGAGAGAGAGAGAGAGATGTGCACTGAAATATGTATATCATTGCATTTTGAAAAAAATATTGTATTTGTAACTGTTGCCTGAATTACTTATCTGCCATGAACCCCTAGGGAGTCCTCCCAGGTTTGTATGTTATCCCTAAAGCTCCATATATCCTAATGTTCTATGTTTACCTATTTATTCATATCCTATTTATTTATTCTTGAAAGAGAGGTTTGGGTTTTATTCATCTTTGCCTATGTGAGGCTTAATTCAACCTGATGAACATAATAGATATTCAGTATATAGTTAAGGAGTATGCCTGATGACATATAACTTAGCATTAGGTATCTGACCTCACATTATGGTGACTAACTTTGCTCTTTGTGTTTTGGCCTGCTGATTATTCACAATTACTCCACAGTCTATTTTCTGTAACAATTGCAAGCTAACAGTGCATCAGCCAGTTTCTAGTTTATTTAAGGACTAATATAAGTATTATATTCACAAACAACAAAAAAGTATATAAATTTGTGGCACCAGTGAAAAAATATATGTCATTTTAATTGTGAAATAATAAAGTTAAAAGATACTGTTGGTAATATCTTTGTTATGTTTAAGGCAATAGGAGGCTGAGTGGAAAAATATACAGCTACACTGGGGAAGGCAGATGACAAAAAGCAGTATATATGGAATATATAGAATTAAGTCATAAAAGGATCATACCTATCTTATTAATTGCTACATTCCCAGCACTTAGAAGAGTGCTTGGTACCTAGTTCAATTAAAACTTGCTGAATGAATGGATGGATGTATATTGCTATAGTACATTTTCTAGCCTATAAATATATGGCTTGCTTCAGAAGAGATACCATTTTGTGGGATAGAAATACTCATTTTGATTGTGACCCATTCATATGATTGAGTCATTTACTTAGACATTTCTTGAACATCTACTATATATCACACCTATGTCTGGAAACACAGAAATGAATAAGACATGACCTGGAAGAGTTTAAGTCTGTTGGAAGAAATGGATACGTAACAAATATTTGCAATGCAGTGTGATCGTTGTATAATATATATATTTCATGGACTCATGACACAGAAGGGATAATCAGCTCCGTTTGTTAAAGGAGAGTGGATCTAGGAAAGATTGCCCAAAAATGCATTTTTAAAGATAGATAGGGAGTTTTGAGGGGTCTTGAAAGTCTACTCATTTTTTTTTTTTTTTGAGATGGAGTCTCCCTGTCACCAGGCTGGAGTGCAGTTGTGCAATCTTGGCTTACTGCAGCCTCCGCCTCCGGGGCTCAAGCAATTCCCCTGCCTCAGCCTCCCAAGTAGCTAGGACTACAGGTGTGTGCCACCTTGCCCAGCTAATTTTTGTATATTTAGTAGAGATGGGGCCTCACCATATTGGGCAGGATGGTCTCGTCTCGATCTCTTGACCTCATGATCTGCCTGCCTCGGCCTCCCAAAGTACTAGGATTACAGGCATGAGCCACCGTTCCTGGCCAATAGTCCACCCATTCAATGTTACTGCTTAATTTGTCATGATAACAAAAATAATTTACCTTTGCTTTTTATGCTTAGCTTTTAAATTTTATTTCTTATATATCAAACCATGTATATGCCTTGCATGTTCTTGGTTTTTTACTATTATACAAGTTTTATTACATGCAACATTCTTGAAAACCAACAACTCTACCATAACTGTTATTGAGAAGGTCATATACTAAATAAAGATTTATTTATATTTTTAATATATTTTTCTACATCTTGAAAAAGGGAAAATAAGAGTTCCATGGTTTTAAATCAGACTTCTTATATGTCAGAAATTGAAAAACTGTCTGTTCAACAAAAGGCTTACTTTCTTCATCTTTTTATTTTTTAAAAAAACTCATTTGTAATTACATAGATGCATTAAATAGCTAATTTTGCTCTCTGTTTATTAAAACATCACAGTCTCACTGCTCAAATCCCATTCACCTAGAATCAATAATTGCACTGTCAAAGAAACTTCCCACTGCAGGGACCCATGTATCTTTCATCCCCTTTAATTTCTTGCAAGTGTAAACAACACAATTTATTCTTCTTGTTACATAGTAATATAGTCATTTGTGAACGTTTCATTAAAACTATCTGCTGGTAATTCAAACTCAGTGTACTAAACCTGCTCCTGGACTTGAGTTATAAATTTAGAAATGGAGTAGTCGATTTCTTTACTACATTATTCAATTTCTACTAGGAAACAGTGCTTGAAATCCAGGTTTCATTAAGAAAAGGTGGTTAAAATATGTTGGCGGGTTTTTTGTTATTACTATTATTATGGCAAATGAGAATCAGTCTCTAACAAGTCCAAGCACGATTGTGACATTTAATTTCTGGAACACAATATAATTCACATACAAGTAGGAAACTATCCTTTCATAAACAAAGTGGAAGCTGTTCAGAACACTCCCACAATATCCCAAACTTGATGAATCTCCAGGTATTCAGTGAAAATTCAACATGACTGTTAGCCAAGTACCATGTGAACTTCTCCATATATAAAACTGTAATCTTTCTCATGTACAAAGGTAGTCATACATTCAACTAAAACTCCAAATTCTTCAAAATAGCTTTCATCATATAAGCCTAGTCCCCTATTCATTACCGTAGAAGTCATTCTACCTGTCCAGAGGTCTAGTTTCAATTCTCTCCACTTCGGGCCTCAAACTTCATGGTCCAGCAAGACTAAATCTACCCTTTATATTCTACACTATACACCTTGCTCTGTCCTTTTCTCATGGCTTCAAATATGTTGTTTCTTCTACCCACATGATCATCTCCTTTGGTAAAATTGCATTTGAAATCTCCCTTGCCCAGGCTAATTTAATGCACAATTTTTCTGTGTCAGTGAAGTATGCACATGCAACTCTAATATTCCTAGGATTGTATTATAATTGTTTGAAGATCTTTTCTCACCAAAAAAAGGCCTTGGAAGAGATTCTTGTTTTTCTAGCATTTACTACAGTATTTACCTAATAAAATGAAGCTACAAATATATGCATAAATGAATATTGTCTACTAATATAAATATTTACAATACATATGAGAGGAATAATAATGTTAGTGGCTTTTGAGTACTTAGCGTGTGTTTAGTTGATGTAATATACTGTAATTCACACCACAGCCCTGAGAGATGGATTATATTATTTCTGTTATTTTTATTTTGCCCTTGAGAAAACTGAAGCTCTGAGAAGTTAGCCACATACCCCACACATTGTCATACAGCAGAATCAGACATGAATTTAAGTCTGTCTGACTCCAATGTCAGTGCTTTCCCTAATGCACCCGGCTACCTTTTGATTATTGTCAAGATCCTGGAAGACACAAATTAGATTTTGATTTGATCTTTTCCATTTCTTTCCAGCTCCAAGTACAGCCCAGTATGGAATTACCGGGAGCGCTGATGTGCTTTTCTCCTGCTGGTACCTTGTGTTGACACTGTCCTCTTTCACCAGCATATTCTACCTGAAGAATGCCATTCTACAATAAATTTAAAGACCCATAAAAGGCTTTTAAGGATTCTCTGAAAGTGCTGATGGCTGGATCCAATCTGGTACAGTTTGTTAAAAGCAGCGTGGGATATAATCAGCAGTGCTTACATGGGGATGATCGCCTTCTGTAGAATTGCTCATTATGTAAATACTTTAATTCTACTCTTTTTTGATTAGCTACGTTACCTTGTGAAGCAGTACACATTGTCCTTTTTTTAAGACGTGAAAGCTCTGAAATTACTTTTAGAGGATATTAATTGTGATTTCATGTTTGTAATCTACAACTTTTCAAAAGCATTCAGTCATGGTCTGCTAGGCTGCAGGCTGTAGTTTACAAAAATGAATATTGCAGTGAATATGTGATTCTTTAAGGCTGCAATACAAGCATTCAGTTCCCTGTTTCAATAAGAGTCAATCCACATTTACAAAGATGCATTTTTTTTCTTTTTTGATAAAAAAGCAAATAATATTGCCTTCAGACTATTTCTTCAAAATATAACACATATCTAGATTTTTCTGCTCGCATGATATTCAGGTTTCAGGAATGAGCCTTGTAATATAACTGGCTGTGCAGCTCTGCTTCTCTTTCCTGTAAGTTCAGCATGGGTGTGCCTTCATCAAATAATATTTTCCTCTTTGTCTCCAACTAATATAAAATGTTTTGCTAAATCTTACAAATTGAAAGCAAAAATAAACCAGAATGATAAAGTTAAACCATATACTATCTCTAAGTAATGAAGGAGCTATTGGAATGTAAAAATCTTTTCCTGAACTGACAGTGAGGCTTGAGAATTTTGCCCCACACTAACTCAGTTCTTGTGATGAGAAACAATTTAATAACAGTATAGTAAATATACCATGTGATTTCTTTAGTTGTAGCTAAATGTTGGACCAACTGTAGGAAATCATTTCCTTTAAAATGACAGCACAGTCCACTCAAGGGATTGCCTAGCAATACAGCATCTTTTCCTTTCACTATTGCAAGCCAAAAATTTTAAGATGATTTGTCAGAAAGGGCACAAAGTCCTATCACCTAATATTACATGAGTTGGTAAGCGCTTATCATTCATTTTGTTTTGTGGCCAGTAAGTTAGTATGACAGAGGCAGTGCTCCTGTGGACAGGAGCATTTTGCATATTTTCCACGCGAAAATAACACTCAATTGATGGTCTGGAATGCACGTTATATATTTTAAAAGTTCCAAAATATGTTATAACAAACATTCTATATTGGTATATAGCAGATCAATCTCTAAAATAGCCAATTCTTCAATAAAATCTTTCTATATGGCCGTTTCAGCTCAAACAAGTAAAACCAAAAAGAGACCATCCTTTATTTTTTCTTGATATATGTAAGATGTGATCAAATAAAGACAAGACACCTGTGATAAGATTATCTTAGGATATACTAATTATCAAGTTATTGTGAATGTTAATTGTTTCTACTATAAAAAATGAAAACTACATTTTGGAAGGAAAATGTTGTTACTCTAGGTATTACATTACAGGAATAGTTTGATGGTTTCACTCTTTACTAAAGAAAGACCATCATCTTGAAAGCCATTTTACAGGTTTGATGAAGTTACCAATTTCACTACACCTAGATTTCTACAAATAGTCCCCTTTTACAAGTCTTAACGACAAAGATCCTACAATAAAATTAGATATAATAAATTTTACGGTGCTTATACATATTTGAGGTATCTAGTCAGTTGCCCTGGAGGGATGGCTTAAAACCTGTGATTTATTTTTTCTTCAAGTAAAACTTAGTCCCAAAATATACCATAAATCAATTTTAATTAGAAAAATGAATCTTAAATGAAGGGACATAAATATACACTCTTTCCATAAAATGGCAATAAGGCATAAAGCTATTAAATCTACTAACTGTAATAAATGGATGACATTATTTTGACTGATATATTTAAGAGTTTTTAGAACAAATATGACACTTAACTTTATTATTTATTTGCTTTAAAAATATTTTTTGTGGAATTGGAGAATAAACTACAAAATATTATTTTGTATTGCAGCTTTAAAGTAGCACACTCCATAATAATCTACTTCCTAGAAATAGTGGTGCTACCACAAAAGTGTTAACCATCAGTACCATTGTTTGGGAGAAAGAAACAGATCAAGAATGCATATTATTCAGTGATCGCTTTCCTAGAGTTAAAATACCTCCTCTTTGTAAGGTTTGTAGGTAAATTGAGGTATAAACTATGGATGAACCAAATAATTAGTTCAAAGTGTTGTCATGATTCCGAATTTGTGGAGTCTGGTGTTTTTACCATAGAATGTGACAGAAGTACGGTCATAGCTCAGTAGCTATATGTATTTGCCTTTATGTTAGAAGAGACTTTCTTGAGTGACATTTTTAAATAGAGGAGGTATTCACTATGTTTTTCTGTATCACAGCAGCATTCCTAGTCCTTAGGCCCCCGGACAGAGTGAAATCATGAGTATTTATGAGTTCAATATTGTCAAATAAGGCTACAGTATTTGCTTTTTTGTGTGAATGTATTGCATATAATGTTCAAGTAGATGATTTTACATTTATGGACATATAAAATGTCTGATTACTCCATTTTATCAGTCCTGACTGTACAAGATTGTTGCAATTTCAGAATAGCAGTTTTATAAATTGATTTATCTTTTAATCTATAATAATTTTTTGTGAGCTATTCGTTTCAGGATTATATTTTCTACAAGTTCCATTTGTGGGACTCCTTTTGTTGCCCCTATTTTTTTTTAAAGAAGAAAGAAAGAAAAATAAGTAGCAGCTGAAAAATGAAAATGGAGAGAGAAAAAGAATGAAGAGGAAAGGAAATAAAGACAGAAAAAAGGAAGGATGGAAGGACTGAAGGAAGGAAGGAAGGGAGGAATGGGAGAAGGAAGAGAGAAAGAAAGGATGAGAGGGAAGGTAGAATCCGAATATTAGGGTAGTTAACTTACACATTTGCATTCTTAGTTTAACTGCAAGTGGTGTAATTATGTTTTACAATGATCTCATTCGAAACGTAAGTCCTATTACACCATCAAATTCCTATTATGCAGCAATTATATCATCAAAAGTACTGCCCAAGTTATAGTAATGTGGGTGTTTTTGAGACACCAAAGATTTGAGAGAGAGAATTTTAAACTTAAAGCCACTTTTGGGGGGTTTATAACTTAACTGAAAAATTAATGCTTCATCATAACATTTAAGCTATATCTAGAAAGTAGACTGGAGAACTGAGAAAATTACCCAGATAATTCAGGGCAAATAATATATATATATATATATAAATACCCCTATGTTTGAAGTCAGAAAACTCTGAAAAACGGAATTATCAAAGTCAATCATCTATAATGATCAAATTTACTGAAAAATTGTTAATTTATCCATTGTGCTTAGCTTTGTAACACAGCCAAAAGTTAACTATTTAATCTTTTCAATAAAAATTGTTTTTTGAAATCCAGAAATGATTTAAAAAGAGGTCAGGTTTTTAACTATTTATTGAAGTATGTGGATGTACAGTATTTCAATAGATATGAATATGAATAAATGGTATGCCTTAAGATTCTTTGAATATGTATTTACTTTAAAGACTGGAAAAGGCTCTTCCTGTCTTTTAGTAAAACATCCATATTTCATAACCTGATGTAAAATATGTTGTACTGTTTCCAATAGGTGAATATAAACTCGGTTTATCAATTAAAATATGTATTTGACTCATTTTAAAACTCTATTAGTTAAGAAAGAAGGAAGAAATGACAATTTGAAGATATTTCTGCTATTCTCTTCATTTCCTGTATTACACTCATCTTTATGCTTACTCTAAAGCAGTACAGCGTAAAAAGTTTAGATGCCACAATTTTGAAGGACTCCACACTATATTCTTTCTTGCTGTTGCTGATTCCTAAAAGGTTTGATAAACTAAACTAAACTAAAAATAAATTTTCTGCAAATATCTTATTATTAATTGTTTAGAACATTTACCTGATAAAATACAGCAGAGTTAGCAACAGAAATTGGTGATAAAATCCTGATGATCTTACAGGCTAACTAACTGAAAACTCCAATGCTTGTAAGAGCCAGGCAGAGTATAATTTCTTAAGACAACTGGGTATAAAACAATGGGCACCTGAAGGCATTCAGATACAATTTCCTTAAAAATACCTTGGTTTCCAAGCAAAACATGTTATTTGGCTGAGAACATTTAGTTTGTAAATACCAAACCATCATATACAAATCAGATCTCACACCAAATGAATTATTTAAGCCCTCTTTTCCATATCTGTTCATCTATGATAATCAACTGAATAAATGAGAACAATGTGGTAGATAAAACAACAAACCATTAAAAAATGCATGCTTGGTTTTATCAGCTATTTTAAAATATAGGTATCACTGCTATTCTGAGAAAACCATATACACCAAAGCCCTCCCTCCACAAAAAAACTGGAAATACTAATAAATGTCTGATTTCCCCACAGCTTCATTATTTCTTCCCTTTTTAACATCTGTCTTATCTATCTTGAGTAAATTACGTCAAAGAAATAGAAGCACCAAGTTTTAGACCTAAAAATCTAGCACATGAAATCCAGAATTAATTTCCCTCTCAACAGAATGGTCAAAACCTAGCTGCTTCAAAGCCACATCTAGGTATACAAAAAATAATTATTCACTTTAACCTGCCAGTCAGAAATGTAAGAATTTGTGGAGAAAATTATCCAAGATAATTCACTCAAGTTAGAGGAATTTGATCCAAATACCAATGTACTCCCTCTGAACTCTCCAAGAAGTACTCACCTTCACATTTACAAGCACCGTTTTTATAGTAATTCCAAACTTACTAAAAAATATTTCAGAATTGATATCACTAGTGGAAAGAGAGCAATTTAGCAAACAAATAAATGCTTTCCATTATTCCTGGAAAGAAAGAAAAGAGGAACACATTTCATTCTCCTCCCTAGAAGCTCTATCCACACTCTTCCTAAGCCTAAACCAATCTCTTCCAGGGTCTTCCTTCAGTCTAAGAAACATGCTTCACCTCAGAGACAAATGTGGCAACTATAGTTTTCCCGAAAGGGTCACAACTACCTCTACCTTGCATTTTACAGTGGAGCACTTTTGCAAGTGTTGCTATTATGGTTTTCTCGACACTGTCAAATACTTAAAGGAGAAAATATTATTATTGTCTTGTATTGATGATGAAAAGGGGATTCAGAAATTTTAAGTCACTTGCTGGAGATTATACTTCAACTGAGTGGCAGATCTGAGCTAAATATACAATGAAAGATGTTCCCAATTTGTTTCTAGTCCCATCAGACTACCTAGGAAAAAGAAAAGCATATAATCACATTGCTGGCTTCATAAACAACTATTTGTATATTTTTATTTATATATTAATATGTGTAACCACATTTTAAATATAAATACAGATATTTATGATATCCTTGTATTTTCCAATACCTGCAGAGAATATGAGATTTAAAGCCCAATCAGATTGTACATGTCATCTAAATCTTTGGAAATGTGAAACTCACAATACAATTGACTTTGGACACACAGCCTTGAATTGTATTAGACCACTCACACCAAGTGGAGAATCTTGTCATAATCACATGTATCTTATTTTGTGTAGCATTTTGCAAAAGATGTGTCAAGTTTGGGATAATCTACTAAGACTATTTCTCAGACATCTGCAATCAACAGAATTTTGGGGGAAATGGAGATCAGAATACATATATACTTTTAAAAAAATTCACAATAGAATACTGATTTTAATCTGAGTGATGTTGTTTGAGCCCATTTATATTAAAATACTAACATGAACATCTGTTTGTGCTGGGACAGTAGAACAAGAGGAAGATTCTAATTCTAGAAATTAAATTATATGCAACCTAAGAAATACATTTGTATTTTATTTTCAAAATATGACCATAATACAAATCCTATGGATATCACCACTTAGTTTGAAAACCATAAAACGCGTGATTTTCATACACTTATGAAATGAATACATTAATTCATTAATGAAGGACCTGATAAGATATTACAACCAGATAAAAGGATAATCTAAAGAACATACACATTTATAGATCAAAACCTTGAAATTAATGTACTAAAGGAGACAAAACTGACTTCCAGATTGAGGAGGAGAATTCAATAGAATCTTTATTTCACAGAATTTATTTCCATATCTACAGACCAGAAATATTTTGCCTTAGTGTTATTTGTTTACAACTTTAGAAAGAGTTCAAATGTAACTGAAAAATGCAGAGCCTCCATAGAATCAAAATTCAGTAGCCTGAAAATGTGTGTTCCAAATAATTCATGGTTTTTCATTTCAGCAAAACCTTTTCTCTGCAATGATGATATGTAAAAACAATTTTTTTTGGAGACAGAGTTTCACTTGGTTACCCAAGATAGAGTGCAGTGGCATGATCTCAGCTCACTGCAAACTCTGCCTTCCAGTTTCAAGCTATTCTCCTGTGTCAGCCTCCACAGTAGCTGGGAATACAGGCACATCCTCTACACCAGGCTAATTTTTGTATTTTTAGTAGAGATGGGGTTTCACCATGTTGGCCAGGCTAATCTTGAACTCCTGACCTCAAGTGATCTGCCTGCCTCGGCCTCCCAAAGTGCTGGAATTACAGGCGGTAAGTGGCTGTGCCCAGCAGAGATGTAAAAATTGTTAAAGCCATTGAATTAAATTAATTGCTAACATTATGAACTTTGATAATATAATTCCAACTTTAATGACTGAAAAAAAACCCAAGATGCCTATATATCTAATAATCTATGTTTTAATTACTCCTTTTCTTCATTATCTCACAAACCATAATCCAATAGTTTGGGACATGTGAAAGAGAAAGTAAACAATCACAAGAAATACCTTGCTTTGAGAATTCACCCTTGTTGAAACAATTATATATTTTTGGCATTTGTTAAAAGAATTAACAGAACAAGACTTTTTTGTCACGGGGCATTTAATTTATGGTATAATAGGAATTTTATATCAAAAACAGTAAGAAAAGTAAAGTAACAGTTGAGATAGCAATATGTCATCAACCAAATACTATGATAATGATAAAAACATTGCAAGAAGCTATAGCCAGAACTGAGTGGTCTGCTTCTACTTAATGCTAATGAGCCCAGTCCTAGCACACATTTTGATTTGGTAGAAACTACAGGAGGTAGCATGGTTCATTAGGGTTTCAAAGCTTTAAAATGTTTAAGAGGATGGTTTTCCTTCTTCATTTCAAGTGGATTGCTAAAAGCATTGGGCTATTCCTTGGTGGAACTTTGAATTTGCCAGTTTCTTCATTAATTTTGACCTTTTTATATTCAAAAAAAGTTAACTCTATACTAAGCCACAGCTGACTTAGACATCCTACAGTTCTGAATTGTGATTAAACAAGTATTAAAGCACATGGAATTTCTCAAGAAAATTTTGGATTCATATCTCAGAAAAAAGACTTAAAATATTTTTTGAAGACCATAATATGCTAAAAGTTAGGAAAAAAATTCTCTTCATTGTTCATATGTAGTAAGATCCACAGAACTCTTACATAGTTTTCTAAGTAGTTTCATAAATGTGGATTGTGGTTGCCCTGAAACTTGACATCTCCCTACCAAGTACTTGACAAGTGACCTGGCAAAAATGTGTTCAATAGCTCATTTTTGACATATTCCTTAAGAAATCATTGCCAGAGATTTGAAAATGCTTCAAGCTGTTGTCTTTTTCAAAACAAAACACATATTCACACACAAACACAAAATCGCATTGCTCTCAGTGATCTGGAAAATAAGCTTGCAAGCTGGCCATGTGGTATTCTGAATAATTTTTTTAAAGGAGGAGAAGAAATTACAACAGTGCAACCAGCAGTTTCTGTTAAGTTTTATTTGCTAAAACTTTAGCATAAGGAACATTTTGTGATTTAATTAATCAGAAGATAACACCTGCTTTAAATACTGACATGGATAAAAGCATATTTTTTAAATATTTGGAATGAAATTAATTTCTTGTAAAATGTTTTTCTTGTTGATAAGCAACTAAATTATGCTTTGGAATGTCTTGCTATCTAATAACTTTAAATGTTGACAAGGAGAAAGATGAGGTTTTGCTTTGTTTTTTAATTCTGAATAAGCCATTTTTCCTGGAAACATACATATTTCTAATTTATAGATAAACTAGTATGTGTGTTCAGAATTCCTGTTCTCTTATTATTCAGTTATCAAAATGTATTAACAAAGTTTTTATGGTTTTATGATAGACAATTAGATATCTTTCATCAGGTAACATAAAAACTTGTATAATGGTATGTTAGTCAATTTTCACACTGCTGTTAAAGACATACCCAAGACTGGGCAATTTACAAAAGAAACAGGTTTATTGGACTTACAGTTCCACTTGGCTGGGGAAGCCTCACAATCGTGGTGGAAGGTGAAAGGCACATCTCACATGGCAGCAAGCAAGAGAAGAGAGCTTGTGCAGATAACCCGCCTCCCCTTGTAAAACCATCAGATCTCATGAGACCAATTCACCATCACAAGAATGGCATGGGAAAGACCTGCCCCCGTGATTCTATTACCTCCCACCAAGTCCTTCCCACAGTATGTGGGAATTCAAAATGAGATTTGGGTGGGGACACAACCAAACCATATCATTCCACTCCTGGTCACTCCCAAATCTCATGTCCTCACATTTCAAAACCAATCATGCTTTC